AATCAGTTTTGGGAACTTTTGCCCAATAACAATTGGTTGAGATTGAGATGAACTAGAAAAATAGGAAGGATATTTCTTTGCAGAAAGTAGTTTAAGTACAAAGGCGTCCTTCCCTTTTGATGGTAAGGGTACTTCTTCCTCATCTCATGTCCACTAAGAAGGGCTTTATGAGAAATGAGAAGAAAACTTGATATATGTGCTTTGAAGTTTTTTGGTTTTTTTTTTTAAGATTTATTTATTTATTTATTTATTTATATAAGCACTGGGTGCAGTCAGAAGCGCAGGAGGGTGAGAGAATTCACCAGAGCCAGAGTGGGGAACAGAACAGGCAGAAGGACTGAAGTACACTGCTGAGGGGAGCAGCGGGCGGCAGGAGAGGTCTGCGTGCCATGTGGGACCCTCCTCTGGTGGCCGGGGAGCAGCGGGGATCGAACCGGCGCTGCAGAGGCTGCGGGCAGCTTTGCAACCCAGTGCTCAACTGCTGTGCCATCGGGGAGGCCCTGTGCTTTGAAGTTTTAAGGAAAAAAAGGAATTGGCATATAAACTTATCAGAAAATTTAAAGGAGAACGTCAGTGGCTGGAGATGCTTGTCTGCTGGCAAATTAAAGAAAAGTTGAGACTAGGAGTACAGAGTGCCTGAGTGATGACAGGATCAATTCTCCAGGGACCAGTGTGTGTCACAAGGGAGAACCAGCTGGGCTCGCTTTGGAATGAAAATAGACCACACACAATGGTTGTCCAGAGGTGGGCCAGCTGCATTCCAGACTGCAATGGAGTGCAGAAAAAAAAGTTGGAGGTGTTCTGGTGGACCCAAAAGTTGTTGTGGAGGGGATGAGACCTATGTGAAGAGAGGCGTTGTTCTTGTCTGGTGGGGTGTGCTCACTGTGACACCCACAGAAGAAGACACTAGCACAGAGGGCACCGTGTGAAATTAGGTTGGTATGAGTCGGCCCAGACCTTTGTTTCTCCTCTCCTTCCTTCTCCCTTCCCAATCCCAGAGTATCCTGAGGCAGCTGGAGACACAGAAACACACTGTGATGTTTCCCTCACACCAGCCTATTCTCGCATTCTTTGATACCAACTGCATGTCCAACAATTCAGTTCTGACACTGACTACCCAGAGTTACTGTCAGACTCCACAAGTTAAGGACTTGGTTCCACAGACCCCACTTCAGATGGGGTACCCAAACTGCCCACAATTTTTGCGTGACTGATTACAATTTTAGGGATTCCCACAACCTTTTCCTTGGGTTTGATAATTTTTCTAAACAACTCACAGATCTTGAAAACACTTTACTTACTAGTGCTATTTTATTACAAAGGAAACAACTCAGGAACAGACAATTGGGAAGAGATGCAAAGATCGAGGTAGATGTGGGGCAGGGTGGTTCAGAGCGGCCATCCTCTTGGAGGGCGTGCACCTACCAGTGCTTCGATATGTTCACCAACTCACAAGCTCCCCAAACCCCATTGTTTCAAGCAGTTTATGGAGGCTTCATTAGGTAGGCTTGGCTGATGAAGTCACTGACCATTGGTGATTGAACTCAATCCCCATGCCGTGTCCCCTTCCCCACGGATGGAGGGGCAGGTTATGTCAAAGTTCAAACCCCCTCTAATCAAGGCTCAGTCTTTCTAGAAGACACAAATCTTGAAGATACTCAGGTTCCCCCTCTAAGTGTCACTCATTAGCATAAACTAAACATGGTTGAAAGGAGCTCATTATGAACAGCAAAAGATGTTCCAATTACTCAAGAAAATTCCAAGGGATTCAGGAGTTTTGTGGCTGAAACAGGGGACCAGGACCAAATGTTCACGATGTCACATCCACAATACCTCCTGTTCCACTGTAGTTTGAAGCTGACTGAGCAACAGGAGAAAAAAAAAGTTTCTTTTGAATAAAATTTGGACTTTGAATTAGTCAATTAAAATGAGTATTTTAAAGTACTGACTGAAATGACATTTTTATTATGTCTAGAATATCTAGACAAATTATTATTCAAAATTAAATGTAAACAGGTGTGAGTCCTACCTGAGGTTTCAGCTTACATGTAGAAAAGAAGGATTTCAGGGAGCAATTTTGAGTGGTCAGGAGAAAGGGAATGAATAAAGCTTTGAGGCCTCTCTGTAGTATAATTTTTAATTTTTTTTTTAAAGATTTATTTATTTATTTATACAAGCACTGGGTACAGTCAGAAGCGCGGGAGGGTGAGAGAATTCACCAGAGCCAGAGCGGAGAGCAGAACAGGCAAACTGACAAAGTACACTGCTGAGGGGAGCAGCGGGCAGCAGGAGAGATCTGCGTGCCATGTAGGACCCGTGCCTGGTGGCCGGGGATCAAACCGGCGCTGTAGAGGCTGCGGGCAGCTTTGCAACCCAGTGTTCAACCGCTGCGCCACCAGGGGAGGCCCTTAAAATTTTTTTTTTTATTGTCTTAAACCATTGTTCATTTTTGTACTATATTTGATTTCTCCCCTCATGTGTAGTCCCTATAATTTTCCCACCACCACATCACTCGTGAACTGTCACCATAGTCCTTTTTTTTTAAATTTAAATTTTATTTTTATATTCCCCATACAATTGCAACCCCCTTATTTTGACCCCAATCCCTCCTTTCCCTGCCCCCCACCCCCTTAGAGTGTCTCTGGTTCATAGTTGTTTGTTGATTTTGATTTTTACTTTCTTATAGTTATTCTTTTTCCTGGTCCCTTATTTAAGTTTTCTAGATTCCTGCTATGAGTGAGACCATGGTCCTTTTTGCTCTTCCCTCCCCTGTTTTGACCCCCTCTTCCTTCCCCTCCCCTGCTGTGTGCCTCAGATCTGTGGTCAACTTGCAAGTTTTGTCTTTTTCCTGCCCCTTTTTTGGTTTCCCTGTATTCCCCCTATAATTCAAACCATCGATACATTTTTCTTTTTCCTTCTGACTTATTTAGCTTAGCATAATCCCTTCTAGTTCCATCTATGTTGCCCCAAATGGAACAAGTTTATCTTTTTTGATCATGTCAGCAGAACTTTTACCTTTGCTGATGCAGCACACATAGATGGGTGTGTAAGTGCACACATGCAGGTGAGCTGCATACGTACAACACACGTCACTTTGCCATCTAAGATCTAACGTGAAACTCATCTCCTTCAAGAAACCTTTCCTGGTTAGCCTCAACTCACCCAACTCTCCCTCTTGAAATTTCTGTGACTTTTCTTTTTTCATTTAAGCAGACCAAGAACTTTATTGTGTGCAAGGTTTTCCAAAGCACCTTTTTAGTGGGGCAAAGTCCATACTTTTTAAACCTTATAATCTAACATAAGTATAAGAGCCAACTGTACGTCCACTGGCCTCACTTGTTGGGTATGGGTTTTTGCTTCTAATTCTCAAGGGAAGCCTCTCACCAGACCCATGTGTTTTGTTTTTGAGGTTAGGCTTAAATATCCCAAAATTTGTTACTTAACAATGCTGTATGATTGATAGGTCAGATAGGTCCTGCACTCATGGCAATGTCAAAGTTAAAGGTTGGTTAAGAATCTAAATATCCGGGCCTCCCTGGTGGCACAAGGGGTTAAGACGTAACCTGTGAAGCTATCCGCAGCCACTGCAGCATGAGTTTGATCCCCAACCAGGGAGGTGACCCACATTGTGCAGCAGACTCACCCACTGAGCAGACTCACCCACCTGACTCACCCACTGTTCCCCTCAGCAGTGTATTTCAGTCAGTCTGCCTGTTCTGTTCCCTACTCTGTCTCTGGTGGATCCTCTCACCCTCCACATCTCTGGCCTGTACCCCAGTTCTTGTAGACATAAATAAATATTTTTTTAAAAGAGTATAAATATCCAGTCTGGATATTTGCTATTTTAGTAAAGTCCAAAACTAAATCTTGATTCAACTTCTCAGTTTTTTTTTTTTTTTTGGGGGGGTTGGTCACTGAACTGTTGAACAGTGTGCTAATGAAATAACTAAATTTCAACCCATCCTTTATTTGTTGATGAAAGTTAAGATACCAGTGAGTGAGATTTGGAATGTGGCGTCAGTCCTCTTCAGGCATTTTACTGGGAAGAAGCCTTTCTTTTTTAAAATTTTCTGGTATCGTTGTTCATTTTTGTACAATATTTGATTTCTCCCCTTCCCTCAGGTGTAATCTCCATAAATCTCCCACCACCATATCACCCTATGAACTGTCACCAGAGTCCCTTATGCTCTTCCTTCCTGTTTTGGCTTTTGTCTCTCTCCCTCCCCTGCTGAATGCCTCAGATCTATGGTCAGCTTGCAAGTTTTGTCTTTTTCCTGACCTTTTGTTTGGTTTCCCTATATTCCTCCTATAAGTGAAACTATCCAAAATTTTTCTTTTTCCTTCTCACTTTTTTCATTGAGTATAATCCCTTCCAGCTCCATCCATGTTGCTGCAAAAGGCATGAGTTTATCTTTTTGATTGCTGAGTAGTATTCCATTGTGTGTGTGTGTGTGTGTGTGTGTGTGTGTATCTCACTTCTTGATCCAGTCATGTGTTTTGGGGCATTTCAGTTGTTTCCATGTCTTGCCTATTATAAGTAGTGCTGCAATAAACATGAGTGCAGGTGACTTTCATGTTGCTCTGTAGCTTACTTTATCTCATTGTGACCAGTAGATCTAGGTCTTAGGTTATTAATGTTTGACTTTTTGAAGATAAACTTTTCTGTAGAGCTGGAAGAGTTTCCCATGTAGCTGGACATATCTCAAAATTGAGAAAATATCTCAAAATTGCTTCATTCATGGTCAGAGCATGCAATTCACTTGGCTTCCACCTTCTTTGTTAGCACCTTTTTTTCACTTGCTCCTAGATGTTGAAGGGAATTAGTTTGATTTTATTAATCCTCCCATTCATCATAAGGGTCTGGCAGTGCCTTTGGAAACTCAAAAGTGTGAGATTTGTCGAAAGCATTTGGGGCCCTGATAAAGCTAATGTCCTTGCGAGTGGAATGAATGAATCATATATGTGCATTGAACACCTGAAACGCTGTGCTTTCTCTGCAGGTGATAGAAGCTTGTCATTCTTATCCCAAAGCAATCGAAGTTGTCGTCAATGCCTATGAACACATCAGATGGAACATAAAGTGGAGAAGAGCTATCCCTGATGACGACTTGGAGGTAGAGAATCAGTTAACTATAGTTTTCACTAAAAACGTACTTCCAGTCTCCCATGGGAGTGCAGGAAATTCTAATCTGAAAAATTGGTTTGGAGAATGCTTTTAAGCCCTACTGAAATGCATTGAGCCAAAATGCATACATGCAAATTTCATGTAGGAGAGTAAATAGACTTATCAACTATATAGTGCTTGGGATTGTCTAGGGGATTTCTCCACTGAAGGCAAGTTGGACAGTTATATAAAGGGGGCTGTTTTACTTTCTTCCCATCAATTTAAATGAGTCAACTAATAATATTTGGGATTGCTCATAGGGCGTTTTTGCCAGAAGATTAAAACATTTCATGGTGATGATTTCAAACACTTTTAAATGTCTTGAAGCCATTACTAGGCAGGAAACAGTATTATAAACCCTGGGGTGAGTCATATCAAAAGCCGTTGGTGAAACCAAGCTTTCACTCTACTTGTGGACTTTGCTGCCTTTGCAAACCTGCCAGTTGACTATAAACAACTGTTCTTGGTCTTAGCAGTCATAGACTGTCTCCAGCATGTGGAGAGGTATCAGGCACGGAGTGCAAATTCCACTGGAAATGCAAAGTCCACTGTGTTTGGAAGCCAATGGCTTCAGAGGCATCTTATTCTACTACTTATTAGCTATTTTATCTTTAAAGAGTTCCCTGACCTGCCTTAGCTCATTAATTGATTAAATATCTAAACATCTGGATATCACCAAGAACATTAAAGGACAGCATAATATTTATATTCATTGAAAATTATTTGGTTTACACGGGTCTAGGCAATTCACATGTGTGTGTTTATTTCATTTGCTGGGTTCTGGGTTGTAGCACCAAGTATTATATCTCCTCTTTCTTCACTTTACAGACCATTCCCTCACCTCCCCATCTTGATTTCATGTTTAAATTTTTGTTTGGCTATCAGAGACCCTAGGTACAGAGGCGGGACAAAATACACTGTTGTTGCTGTCTATTGACGTGAATTGTGGGGCTCTTCTGACTTGATCCTGTCTTGCCTTCCTTTGCAGAGACACTGGGATTTTTACCACTCCCTCTTCACTGTGTGCGGTAACTCTCCAAGGACCCTCATGCATTTATCGAGATGTGCCATTCGAAGAACGTTGCACAACAGATGTCACAAAGTAATTCCTTTGCTTTCCCTCCCATTGTCATTGAAAAAGTACTTGCTTTTAGAGCCTGAGGGAATCATTTATTAAGCCTTATGAGACAGAAGTTCCCAGTCCTAGATATTTAAATGGACTCGCCTGGTAGACACAGTTTGCATAAATAAAATGGTACTTGGGTTGATTATAACACTTCAGGGATTTCAAAACACTTTACAAACACTATGTCATTAATCCTAGGGTGAGGGGAAATAAACAAGAAGTAAAGTTAAGGAATTCTCAAAGACACGATGTATCCTGAAGATACTGATAAAATAATGATAACTAACATTTATACAATGCTCTCATTAGGTGCATGAGAGATTTTTGTCAAACTTTCCATATCTGAGCTTATTTGCATGGGACCCAGGTTTTCTTAAAACCAACCTCATCTTCTACTTTCTCAGTAATACGTTTACATTACCTTTCAGTGGGCAAAATAGCAAGCTTTTATAATTGGCCTATTAATCTTTTCTGTCTCACTTCCATTACCACTTTGCAGAAATTGACCTTGGCTAGTTTTGCAAACTCTGATCCCCACCAAGACTCTTCAAATTTTTTTTTTTGGTGAAGAGCTTACTCGAAACCATGGAGATCTTTGAGTCGAGTAAAAAGCAAAGACTCATCCATCTCATAGTCAAAATGGACATTTCAACACACTCTCATTGAGCCAGAACCTGGAGGTGCACTCACAAATTGGAAGAACTCCTGCCCTCCAGGATCTCACCATTTAACCGAGAATCCAGACATTAGAGCAAACAACTGCAGTGTCAAATCCCAGGGGCAAGCCTACAGTTGCAGGCCCCTTCCTAGAGATTACCTTCCAAGTTGTGTTTCTGACATGAAGTGTGTTTTTCCTTTAAAGCATGAAGATAAAGAGTGAAGGGATTGTGTGAAGAGAGCTGTTAGTGTTAATGTATTCACTTTAAGTTTCTCCAAACACCCGTTTTATTTCAGCACAATTTGCTGTTTGGTGCTTCTCCAGACTCAGCAAGAAGACTGCACACTCCGTGGCTCCCACTTATGTGACTAGGGAGTTGAGAAAAATGTGTGGGAGGAAGTGTGTGCAGGGAAAGACTTCAGTTGAAGTCTTTGGTTTTTTTTTAGTTATGCATACAAGAACTGGGGTGTAAGCCAGAGGTGCAGGGGTGGGGGGGGGTGAAAGGATTCAACAGACAGAGTAGGGAGCAGAACAGGCAGATGTACTGAAATACACCACTGAGGGGAGCAGCAGGCAAGGCAGGAGAGGTCTGCTGCACCATGTGGATTGGATTGCTCCCTGGACAGCTGGGGATGGAACTCCTTGTGCTGCAGTGGCTGGCAGAGCTTGATAGTGCTGTGTTTAACCCCTGCGCCACCAGGGAGGCCCTACTTTGTTCTTTTGTATGTAACAGAATACCATGTCACTGCATTTTCACTAGGAAATAAGGAGCAGTGCTAGGATGAATGGCTGTAGAAAACAAATAGACCTTTTGAAAATGGTGGAAGTTGGAGAAACTTGGAGTGATAACTGTGTTAACCAGGCTTTGTGGTTTGCAGAAAGAGAAATGTAGATGACTAACCTCTGGACATTATGGATTATGAGGCCAACTTTGGTACATTTTTGTTCTTGCTCATTTTTAGATAAGCACTTCGCCTCTTAGCATCACTTGTTAGTGGTTAAAGTGAAGTAATGAAGCACCGATAAATCTGCCCATTGTGAACAGGTTTCTTTTATTTGTGTGATTCCCCCTCTTACTTAATTTTTGATGACTGAATTTTAAATAGAGATATCAAATATTCCATTAATCTACTATTTAGATGGTGCTTCTCCACTGGTGTTTGCATATTTCCTGAGCTGTGTAGGAGAAATCACAGGTGGATGTGATGCTCTTTCTGAAGTATCAGTTTTACCCACATATTTGGGAGAACTATTTTGTACTAAAACAAGATCTACATTATGGAATAGAATGCTGAATTTGTATGAACTATTCATATAAAACATGATCCTTCAAAAATCATTTCTTGCAGTAGTTGAAATGCAAGAGGTAGTTTTTGTATCCTATCTAGCATGCTGAGTTGAGGTGCATGCTGCCCCCACCTTCTGGAATATTCTGGCAGAAACATTTGTGGTGCTCTGACTTGGGGTGAGTAAAAGTGATGCTGATGGCAAAGAAAGAGAATGTGGATTGCTCAGTGAAATATTGTGTGTCAGCCTGCTTGCCTGTGTGTGCTTAAACCTTTTGTGTAATCTAGCATATAAGACACGACTACTTGTTTTGAATTGTTTATTTGTGGATTTATTTTTCCTTATCTTTGAACTTTTATTTAGAGGACTTAAATAAATAAAACTCTTCTGTTTCCCTCTATCTTTGTGAGTTGTTTATTTCCTAACTGACTTTTCAGCAATTAGACTGAAGAACACTCTTCACTGCTTTCTTCAGCATTTAGGGAGAAAAAGAGAATGAGGAAATGCGCCTGTAAGTAAATCCTTTTGAAAGAAAGAGTAAACACAAATAAAACACAGGCTATTTCTATAGCAACAAGAGTGTTTTAATAATAAAGAAATTGTACCGTGTCACTTTCTTCTGCCTATTACCATCTCTGTCCTCCTGGGTTTTCCATTTCTCTTCATTCTCACCATTCACACAACCCTGAGCAGTAACAGAGGAAATTATATCTTCCTGGTGCCTCCCTTACTTTCTGTAAATAGACATTTAATGGCCAAAAAAAAAAAAAAAGTTATATGTGAGGAAGGATCTTCACTATGACGGGAAAGACAACCTAAGTAGTTTTCACCCCTGATCAGGGTCACACATTTGTGTTCTGTTTTTAATCACCTCGTGTTTCATCTCCATTTTGGCCTTCCATTCTGTACCCAGTGTTTTCTAATAAAAATCACAGCAGTCAAAAGCTGACTATGGGAATAAGAAAAGTAGCAAACCATTTGCAGTGTGTTAGCAGCATTGGAGAAAACAGCTGAGCCTTATATTTTGGATTGGGGAAAACTCAGGAAGTTTTAAACTGGAGCACTTTCCAAACTTTCAAAGAAGAACCCAGATTTTCACGCATTTTCTTTGAAGCACAGCTACCATTGCTAGTATCTGGAAGGAATTCCTCCTTTCTTGCTTTAGGAATCTAAATGGATGCATTACATACATTTCATGCATTAAATACAGTTAGGTGTTGAGTTTTGGCTCTGCTTTGTCTGGGTTGGTACCTTGATTTCCCACCTTCTTTGACGCATCAGTTAGGGAAAGTGACACACCTACCCTGACTTCAGTTTCCACTGCTGTGGAAGGGGAATAATAATGGAAGTTACCTCAGAAGACTTGTACACACAGTTTCCTTTATTTACATTGGGGTTACATCCAAATAAACCCACGTTAAATTGAAAATACCGCTAAACCGAAAATGCTGACGGTGAACTGCAGCCCGCTGCCTCTTCGGGCCTGGAGACGGAGCGTCCTGTCCTGGCGTCCCCCGCACGTGTGTCTGTCTTTCAAACCTTCGTGAGAACTGTAAGTCGAGCCATGGTAAATTGGGGACCGTCCGCATTCTTTCTGAGGTGTAGGGGCGGAAAATGTTTTCCCCAACCCTTGTAGGTCCCTGACGGCGTCTGAAAATTAACCTGACAGAGATTAATAGAAAAGCATATAAATGTATTTAATGTAAGTTTTATATGACATGGGAGTCTTCACGAGGAAATGAAGACCTGAAGAGCATTGCGATCTGGGTTTTTTATGCCAGGTTTGATGACAGTCGTGTAGAAATGTGATGTATGAAGGAGTATCAGTAAGTGTGGTAAAGTGGAGGAAACAGCAAGACCTGTGTAAGGGCAGGAAGGACCACTGAGCAGGTTTTCTGATCCCCTGCAGACCGGGTAAAGGAGGAGTCAGAGTCCTCAGTGGTTTTTGCAGCACTTTTATTGGGATTACCAGGTACACAGCAGGCTTGGGGGCCAGGAGGCTGGCAGGCCTCCCAGCCCCCAGAAGGTCTTCACTCTGGGCTCTCCGGCCTTCTCTCTCGGCTTCTGCTTCTCTTTCTCAGCTTCTCTCTTGGCTGCTTCTGTTCGTTCTGCTGCTTCTTGGCTTCTGCTGCTGCTGGCGTCTCCATGATGCTGCCCTTAAAAGCCCAGTCTCTCAGCTCAGGTGTACCCACTTCAGGTGCCTGCCATCAGGCATGCATTCAGGACCACGGGGTTCCCTCATCTATCCTGATGGCGGGAGGGCAGAAAAGCCTGATACCTTTTACCTTACCCTACAACCTGTTTCTTAGGATTCTTCTGAATCCATTTGTCTTAAGAGATAAGGATGCTCCTTTCTTCTCTAAAAAAGGATTTTTTTTTTTTACTTCTTTGAGAGAGAATGGTAGGGAGTTGATCAGAGTGACCTTTGCACTTCTGCTGTTTATTCGAATTCTTGCAGCTTAAAGATTCAGTATACTAAAGTACCATATTTTGAGGTCATATGTCCTTAACCCCACCAGAAGGTTAATTTTTTAAAGATATTAAATACACAGAACAGAGCATGCCATTCAATAAGCATTCGTTATTGTCCTTGTTGTAATTGTGAATAATTGAGGGAGATGTTTCTGGTAGTGAGGTATATATTCTTAGAGTGAAACTATAGCTAGAAATGATACATGGGATCAGTTGGGGACCAGGACTGCCTACCCACTTGGGGTTTTTGTGGTGATTTATTTATTCATGCATACAAGAAACAGGGTACAGGCCAGAGGTGCGGGAGGGTGAGAAGATTCACCAGAGACGGAGCGGGGAACAGAACAAGCAGACTGACTGAAAAACACTGCTAAGGGGAGTAGCGGATGAGACAGGAGTGGTCTGTTGCGCCATGTGGGTATCTTCCCGGCCAGGATCAAACCCGCGGTGCAGAGATTGCGCACAGCTTCACAGTGCTGCGCTCAACCACCTGCGCCACCAGGGAAGCCCTGTTAATCCTCATTTTGATGGTTTCTGGATCCCTTTCCCAAGGCTGTAGCACATGTTTGATGTCCTTTTCTTAAACTTTCAGTCTCCCTGGGTTATAGAACTGCTTCATCCACTTGTTCCTTCAGACCTAGGTGTAGTCAAGCCTTCCTGCCTTTGTTCTGTGTGCTTCAGCATCCCTTGCTACCTAGATTCTATAAATACTTCTTGGTGAAATTATTTTCAGTCACTGTAACAAGTGTGCCATCCATGTCCTTTAGGGATCTTGACAGATCAATACACACAACTGTGACATGTTGGTGAGGCCTAGGTGGTAGTCCAGAAGATGGTGAGTGCCTTTGGCATTGAAGAAAGATTGATGACACCATGTGGTTAGGCAGGCGGACCTGAGCTGTGACCTGAAGAAAGGTGGGTCTTGGGTAATAATTTAGGTAAGAGTGGAATGGTAGAATGGGTGCAGGGAAGGGTGAGAGCTGGAATATATGAGTATTCACCATCACCCATTAGACAATTAGGTAGAAGTAGAAGATGAGCTTTTATTGTAGACAGTAGAGGATTAGGTTGGCAGTGCTAGGTGTAATTGAATTATGAAATTTTTTGAATTATGGTGAAGCACCATGGTGAATTGATGGAAAAGTACTATTATCATAATTACTTTTCGAAGCTTATAACTTTTATAGTAATAATTACGATACAACTATGTAACTTTTATATGGTATTATATAATTTTCAGAGCATTTTCATGATGCTTAATAGAGTATTGCCTTTATCATGATGCTTGACTCTTCTTCCATGCCAAAAAATTACAGTTATAAAGATTTAGATCTGAAAAACATACCTACACATGACACTACTAGTTAACCCCTTCTTGTGCAGAACAGTCATGTGGAATGATTACTCAAGCAAAAAAGAAAAAAAAAAGGATTATAACTGATTTTTTTATATCAAAGGCTAAAATTTTTTTAATTGCATGAAATAAAAAAGGAAATCTTTCTTCCAGAGCATATGAAGATGAAAGACAGAGGCAAAATTTACAGTTCTAAGATTGCTTATAATTCTCGCCACAGCAGTGTTCAAGTGATAAATTGTTTACAGAAGCACTGACATAATTACAATCTCCAGGGGGCCCAGAACTCACACTCCTGCTAAAGTCAGAGGGACAGTGAAAGGCTTCTTCTTAGGATGATCCATCAGGGAAAATTTAGGCAGCAGCAAATTGTTTCTAAGTAACCTTTGGCTACTTCTAACATAAAATTACACACAGAGAAACTGTGAAGTGTTTGCTCCGTGGATTAACAGTGCTGGGTGACACAGGAGGGAAATGGATTTTGGAATCCAATAGTTCAGATTTTTATCTTGATTGTGTTTCATTTCTTGTTTGCATTAGTATCTATGTGATCTTGGGCCAATTTCTTAATCCAAGCATCAATTTCTTTATTTGAATAATTGTGACTAACGAATTTACAAGGTTCTTTTGAGAAGTGTAATGACACAAGTAAAGCATCTGAAGTACTGTCTAGGATGTAGCTGAATTACAATAAATGCTCAGATCGTCCGTACTTCCCTTATGTGGGGGTGATTATGTGTAATGTGCTAAGAGTGTTTCTAAGACGTCTAAGATGTCTAAGATATTCTAAAACATCTAATATTCATGTACACTGGCCAGAGAAGCTACTTGGGGTGTTTTTGGCTTTTGTATTTTAACTATAGTGGTTTTTCTTTGATACAAACTTTGAGGCAAACTGTCCCAAACCAACATTATTAATGGTTCTCTGCTGTTGTCAGTTTAGCCTGAAGGAGGCAGCATAGGAAAACATTCTCCCTACCGTGAATCAGACCTATAGAAGTAAGGATAGCTCTCAGTTCTAAATGCAGCCCTGGAGAACATTAAACCTCAACACTCTATAACAACTTTTCAAATCTCCTGGTAAAAGTTTCACAGAAATCTGTTCTACCCTTCATTGCAAAGAGATCCTTGATTCAGGAAGAGATCTTAGAAACACTATTCTATTCCGTGATTACATCATCTGGAAGAGGAAAAAATTGCCATAAGATTCTATGTAGCACTGAAATAGACAACTTCATTAGGAATTCCAGACATTTAATTTCCCTTCTTCCCATTCTTCCTTTTTTTCTTCCTTTTCTCCTTTCTTATCTTCTCCCCCCTTATTTTCTGTCTCTTGTCTTATGCTTTTATGTGTTGTTTGCCCTGTTTGCTGGGCTAGGACCTCAATGTGAGCAATGCCAAGGTCATGTTGGTGTATTCCTGAGGACCATCGACAGCTTAGAAGTCCAGTATTGTCTGCATAAGTTTGCTTTGAATACATGAGGCTGACATTTAAACCATCCAGGACGTGGGAAATTTTGTGCTGCTTTTTCCCAGTTTTATTCTTTGATGTTTTGTTTCCAAT